TGGATGAATATATTTTTCTTTCGGCTACACTCATAACAGATCGCGCTGCACATCGGCAGCGAGCACAAAGCCCGCCGTTTTGAATGATTACCAGGGGCTGCTGAAATCCGTTTAGTAAGCTCCAATGCATGGAAGGAGGAGGACACTTTGTTTTTCAACAAAGCCAAATCATTACGTAATATTAGATATAATAAACTAATAAAAGTGGGTCCAGCCACCCCTAGAGGATCTTTTTGACAAAACGTGTGATAACACTTCACAACAACCTCCATCTATGGGAAGGTAGCTCAACTGAACGAATGTTTTTAATTTTAAAAATTTCATGTTACAGTTTTCAACATTTATCTAGCAGAAAATGCACATAATTACCTTAAAATGATTTAAGACAGGTATATGGATGAATATATGTTTTATTCGGCTACTCTCCAATAGATGGCGCTGCATAGAGGTAGCCAGCACAAAGCCCACCGTTTTGAATGACTTCCAAAAGCTACTGAAATCCAATGCAAGCAAGGAGGAGGAAGGAGGACGCTTTGTTTTTCAACAAAAACCCAAATCAAGACGTACTAAACTAATCCAAACTAGAGATGATCTTAGCAGCGACTTGCAAGTCGCCGGGATAACGGTGACAGCGACCTTAAAGTCGCCGGTAGATTTAGCAGCGCTTTAGGTCACTGCTTATCTATGGTCGCTGCCAGCAGCCAGCGACTCCCTGGCGCTGATTAAATTACTCGATATTTGGCGGCGGTTATCCATTGATATTAAGGAGGTGTAGATGTACAGGTTCCTGAAGATTTAAATTAAACTATATTTAAGGTTTTTGTTTTTAACAATATTGAGCACAAAACACATAAAATCATAAAAATACATAAAATATCTTTCTATGAATCTTAAAAAGTAAAACAAAATACTATTTTACCAGTCAAAATAAAACTTTTAAAACATAACAAATGTAGTATAAAAATGCTTCTTTTATATGTTAAACATTGCTTAATAAACGAAACATTTTTCTATGAAACAAGAACTCACAACAATAAAAATAAAAACTAACAAAATAGGTTAGGCTACGCTGTAGCGACCTTGTACTTCCCGCTCGATGATCGCGAACACGATGTGTATATGCTTCCTGGCAGCGACCGCGACCGAAACAGCGTTACAGCTACCGATCAGTGGTTACCGATACCGATACTTCCAAACAGCGATCTGGGTCGCTGCTTCATGGAGAATCAGGTCGCCGGGACTAACGGCGACCATTCAAGTCACCGGGAAAGGTCGCCGGTACCGATATATCGATCATCTCTAATCCAAACAAAATAATCTTTTCATCAAAAAAATGGGGAGATTTTAACCCTCCTCACGGAAATTTAGGTTTCTTGATCTTTGAAGATGCCCTGCCATAAACCCGTCCCGAGCATCGACCAGCCGCCCCTAGAGTATTTTTTGACTAGTTAAATATTGTGTGACGTGTGATAACACTTTACAAAGAACCTCCATCTATGGAATGGTAGCCCAACTGAACGAAAATTACCTTAAAATCATTTAAGAAAGGTATATGGATGAATATATTTTTTCTTCGGCTACTCTTCGATAGATGACGCTACATATCGGTAGCCAGCACAAAGCCCATCGTTTTGAATGACTACGAGGGGCTGCTAAAATCAGTTCAGTAAGCCGCAATGCATGGAAGGAGGAGGGCGGATTTTTAACCCCTACTCGAAAATTTAAGTTTCTTGATCTTTGAAGATGCGTTGCCATTTTTTGATGAAAAGATTTATTTTGTTTGGATTAGCTTATTATATCTAACATTACGTATTGATTTCGCTTTCTCCTCCTTCTATGCATTGCGGCTTACTGAACGGATTTCAGCAGGCCCTGGCAGTCATTCAAAACGGTGTGCTTTGGGCTGGCTACCGATATGCAGCACCATCTGTTAGAGAGTAGCCGAATAAAAAATATATTCATCCATATACCTTTCTTGAATGATTTTAAAGTGAATTTTCAACTAAACAAATGTTAAAAGCTGTAACAAAAAAACTTAAAAATTAAAAATTATTCGTTTAGTTGGGCTACCATCCCATAGATGGAGGTTCTTTGTAAAGTGTTATCATCACAAGTCACACAAAATTTAACTAGTCAAAAAGATCCTCTAAGGGCGGTTGGTCGGGATTCGGGACGGGTTTTGGTGCTCTCCATGCCGAAGGTCGGTTGTGTGAGCAAAAGTACATTCAAAAAAGGAATCTCAATATGGATGAAACAAAATCTACCTTTCCATTTCCATGGTAAGCAAAAATAGAAGCCCTTCTAAAAATGATGTTTCCACGCCCCTTTCACACGCCCAAACCTCTAATCTTCGATCTGCCACTGGAGAGTAAAGACGTATGTGTACTACGGTATTGTTTTTGTTCAAGTGTTGTGTTTTGCCTTTCCTCGCTGTACCGCAATGAATTGAATAGAACTTTGAAGGACCCAGAAGTATGTCGATTTTAACGCAATGGGTGAATCCAAAACCGCCTATTTCTTCTTATTCGCCGTCTCCATGGCAAGTACATGGCTAGCACTTTCTTTCGCGCTGTGATCATTTCAATTGAACAATCAAAATTCGGGAGCGCCGCGCAGCGGGCGCCGGGCGAAATCGACCTCGTGTGGAAACATCACACTTATCAGGCGTGCGCCGCAGGGCGCGCGCCGTATCGTGTGAAAGAGTCCTTTTATCTCAGTGATGAGAACAAGCGACGCCAACTTAATGCAGAATTTTTGAGAAAATATTGAAAGTTGATGCTCTCTATGGGGACCTTGGAAATTGGAGGGTTAAATAACATCTTGAAAAATAAGAATTTGCAACGTATACTCTTTATAATTAGTAATCTTATAAGCAACAACACATTAAAGTAGATTCCGTGGTATTCACAATATCCGTTACTCTGATACAGTTGTAGTCACCGTTCTTGGCGGTTACGCGTCATCAACGCCATATGAAATAAGTAAAGAGATCGAGTCTCCGTACCATGGGCGGATTTTAATTTTCCTAACTGAGGGGAACAAATTTAAAGTTATTTACTAATCGTAATTCTCAAAAATCTTATCTAGTACATAAACATGGGTAATGACACGCCATTTTTTTAAGTTGAAATAGAAAATACTTAGTACAGAATTTACAATATAATACAAAATAACACATCTATTTGCTAACTTGATTGAATTATCAATTTTCAAAATTGTTTCATTGAAAGTATGAATTATTGGATTTGCTTTATCAGAGTCATCTGAACTTTCTCCCAAGTGAATGATTATATTTGTATCCTCCCTATTAAACACTTGATGCTTGTCCCAGTCATTTTTAATCAAGTCCTCGGTATGTTTCACACACTTGGCCCAAACTGTAGGAGTCACCTTCGCTAGAGCATCGTCTCTGTAGAGTTTAGGAATAAACTGGTATTTATGTTTTTTTGTCGGCCAGTTGGTCGACCTTTTCTAGAAAGGAGAGAAATAAATCAGTTACGAAGTAAATGGTGTTTGGTTCATACGCCAGTTATCACAGTCCCAAACTTTCAAAACATCCTCACTCACCATGGCAATTTTCCACAATATGACGATCATAGTACTGTTTGGCTATTCCATAGATTAACTCAATAGGGTTGTATTGACAATGGTAAGGGGGGAGCCGCAAAACTTGATGTCCATGTTCATATAATATCTATGATATATCTTGGAGCCGATGGTTTATTAAGTCGACATAGATTTAAAAGATCGAGCTTAAAAGCGTCATCATCAAAATGACGTTAAGGCACTATGATAAAATATTATCTATGATTACTAAAGATGGCTCTTGTAACACTGGTATCAGCTTCTCACATACACATTTTTTGAAAGAATCTTTGTCCATGGAATCATGATTTTGTAGCAAATAACAATGTAGTATCTCTCAAAAAACTGATGGCCGCTTTTCAAACTCTTCACGATTTCATCTTGTCAAACTCGTTTAAACAACCCTTTGACAAATATCCACGTTTCATCTAAGAAAACGTATTGGAGAAGGCTTGCACTATTTAGGTTATTCATATAATGACTCATAAAATAGATAAGTTTGGAAACAATGTCTGATTTTTTTCACAAGAGTCGGTGGTTATCTTCTCTCTTGTAGGAAAAACCGCAAGCTTTCAATAGATGCCTTAATCTTGAATCCGAAGCGTTGTATATGTATCTTTTTTTAAGTCCCTGATTGAGCGCAGAGGTCGTGATATGTTGTCCTTTACTTCTCATATCGTAGAATGTATTCCTAATTTCTGTTTTGACGGCATCACTTACATCATCGGTCTTGCATTTTTTGATTTTGTGAGTTTCCCATCTTCAGTGCATCTGCTACTCTCTCCAGTACGCATTAAGTGGGTAACAGGAGACCGCTGTTTTCATTCTGTTCCTGGAAATACTTTAAAACATTTAGCACGAGCTGTCGGCCTTCTCCATTGATCGTATTTCCGGGCATTGTACAATTTTATATTGAAGATTGATAACAGTACAACTCAAATTGCACGCCGATGTCAAGTAAGTTGTCACTCTGACAAATATGATTCAAGGGCACACCTAAAGACGTATGTCTTTGAGCTTACCGAACAAACATTCACACACATGGGTAGGTCGCATGTGTAGGTATGAGGGAGATGGAGATATATAAAGGGATACTGGTAGTCTTACTTTAACTCTCCGAAAACGGTGACAACAAGTACACCAAAGAGATGTTTTTAGTGCGAGCGTGTTGTATTTGTTATGTCTTGGCCAAGCGCTTTTCAAGCACTTATTGTATTCAGGTCTCTTGACTATCATTCCACTGATGATCGCCTTGAAATCACAGCATCGAGTTTATAAGGGAAACGATTAGTTTTTAGGAATATACCACGCGTTCGTGAACTTACGGTCCAGATTCAGTCACGTCATCACCATTGACGCTCGATGCTATCATAATATTACACCTATATGCAACCGCATCTTGAAAAATGAAAAGGTTCAGACAGAAACTATATTTTTTATTTTCCAAAACACTGATCTAACAAGAAAATATTACTTTGGTAACTTGTAGTAGCCATTTGAGTAAATCAAATGATGCTCCCTCACTTTCCTGTCAAGAAATACCTTCAACTCTTGGATGCTACATTCTATCGTGGGTCCTTGAAAAGCGAACATCTTCAGCATCTGGTGTATCCTTTCTAGAGGTAAAGTATCCAAGTTCATCAGCATTCCAACTATGTAGGACCAGAAAGTCTGAACAGAAAAATATAAGAAAAATATATTAGATGATGTTGAGAAACTTATCTTTAGATATTCAAAAGTAAATGAGTCAAATTTCCATAATACTTGATCATTCAAGTAATGCTGTTCAACAAAGTGGTTCCGTTTGTTGCCGACAATCAACCTCATTGTTGTCAGTAATAAATTGCCATTTTAAATAGGTAAAATGTTTTCTTCAACCTTCTAAGATACTATATCAAATTCTGATTAATATTTTCTTTATCTAGCAAAACGAATGTTTAAACTACTTTAGTCCAACACAAAAACAATCAAGCAACCGAGGCGGTTTCACTCTTGGAAAGGAATAACAGTTGAAAGTAAGGTTAGGTTTTTAAAAAAGCAGATGTGGCTTCATACACAGATCAACTGTGTTGTTGCTGCATATGTGATATGTGACCTATTTGAGAGAAAATTATTGTATAACTGGTGCAGCCGGAGCATTTAAACAACGTTGACATATTCCGTTTTGTTAATGTTTTCTAAATGTACTATTCAGGATAACTAAGTTAAGTTGGGTAAACAACATGTATACAATATTTCACGAGTATCCATCACGTTTTGACGTCTACTAAGGTGAACAGCTGATAAGCAAGTGACATTTTTGTGTTGTTCTGCAACGTTGGCAATAATGGATCGGGTATAAATCAAGTAAAACTTATTTGTGGCGTTTTTTTGTATGCAAATGAACTTTTTTAAATAAAAGAGCTGTTAGCAAGTACAAAATGAATCTGTAATATACAAAAAAACAAAACAAAATTCGGCTGTCTACCTGGCGTTGACGGATCCGTCAGAATTATATGTCCTGTGCCGATATGGCGAATTTTCAGATACTACTAGATAATCAGCTGTCATTCTACCATGATGGATACTCGTGAAGTAGGGTATACGCGACTGCTTACTTCTGGTCTATCCCCCATCTGGATACGGACGCTATAATTACGAAAACAAGAATTTGTTGAGTCCAGAGGCGGATTTTGGACAATTCAATTTCTTATGAATCAGCTGTCATTTACCATAAGTAGCATATCCTCTACAGTTTTAATAGATATGAAGGAAAAATAAGTGGCAAGCTTAGTAAATCATGTGGGCAATGTGATGCCGTAGTGATTTCAACTGACATACAGGGCGATTTCAAAGTATGTGAAAACTTAATGTACTTTACAGTTCGATGGGAAATTTCCTCCTAATTCCAAAGTATTACACAGTTTAGTGGGTTTATTTTTACTAGTTCTAATTTTTTAGGTAATCACTTTTATTTACCGCACCTACGTTAGATGAGCTCGCACTAAATATACTTGATGTTAGATGTTAGAAATTCGATTCTTTAGCATTGCTATGTTGGTAATCGATAAAGGTACGAGTTCGGCTGATTTAAGGCGAATATACTTAACCATACCCCGTTTTGAAGTTTACAAAATTCGAAGCTGTTCCGTTATTATCCGGAAAACACCGAAATGTTTTGAAATATTTTTTGATGACTTTACTTGATGAGATGTTTTAAAATGAATTCCACATCATTACAGCTACTTTTTTACCTCTACAAAATGTCGATTGTAAATTTATGATCCAACGTTTTGTCTTCGAGCAGCCATCAACTTTATTTTTTCAAATACAGTCCTTGTAGGTATTTTTTAGTTCTGCTTTTGAGAGGTTCGATGTCCCAAAGCCACGTATCGCAATTATTTGAACATTCCTATTGTTAGCATTTTCCTCAAAAGCTTTAGTTTTAAAACGGGTTATGGTTAATCATTCAAATCCACATGTTTGAATTAGTTTACCTGTCCTCGTATCTGTAACGGTTACCAAGATAACAATGTTTATGCATCGAATTTGTAGCACCCTGTATACACGTATGGACTTTTTTTACGATAACCCCTTTCCCCTGCAATACATAAAAATATACACATAAATTAAATATTTTATTAAAATCTCTTATAAAGCAAAAACGTTTTAATAAGAACTCTCAAGGTGATACAAGTATTTTATAACATGGAAGCTATATTTAATTTAATTTAAAATTCTTCCGCAGTAAAATATCAGCCATCAGATTGCAAAATTTCTGTCTGGCTGGTATTAGGTGCATTTATATCAGAACTAAATGCAACATGGCTCTTGATATCTTATTTGCTAAAAATGATCTAATGCTTGCCTTTTCGATATCAGGGGTCATTAAAAAACAAATTTTCTCAGTGGGTGTACTTCAATAACAGAAGAAAACTTTTGGTGTTAGTCAAAGCAAAAAAGCTGGATCTAAGGTAATAAAGAAACTTTTATAAAACTGTTTTATGATAGCTCTATAAATGTTTCCAATAAAACATATAATTGTTACATACTATGTTTTATAATAATATTAAACACGTTTAAACAATTATTCGATAAAAGCTGTGGAAGCCATAATACAAACTAAAGAACAAAAATGCTGCATAAGAGTGCGCCCTTTTTAGATTTATAAGGGTTGTATAAACGTTGTTAGAACGTTTATAGCGACGTTGTTATTTTATAAAAATAGTTCTGTACACGCTGTTAGGACATTTATGAAACATAAATTGTTAGTTGAGCTATTTCGGCGAAATATCAATTTTTGGCTCCAAAAAGCATGATTTCATATGTTTTATATAGATAAGTAACAAAACTTACCCTCTAAAAACAAAACGTAAAATTGCGAGAAAAGACTGTGACCTAATAAGTAACTAGCATAATGTAATATGTTTGCCCACGTGCTGTTCTTAGAATGTGAGCTTACCTCTACTGCGAAAGTTAGATTTCCGTCGGATGTAATGAAAATAACATGTACGAGTATTCTCTGATTGTGGTAGTTTGACAAAAGGGTGTATTGGTATCCGAAATGAAGAATTCAATTCAATCCTCTTAATTCCTTTGGCAGCGAAAAGAGATGAATGAGTTTTCATTCAATGTGCGCTCGAAACGGGTAGTGTTGGATGAAACAAGGGACTTTTTTTGTGAGAGAAGTAGAGCAGAACATATCGTCATCAACTAATAAGCAAATACAGGGTCCCACGTAGAGCTGTAGCGATAGCTTACTCAAAAAGTTGTAAGGCAGCTATTAATATTTGGATTTGCAGTATAACGACAAAAGCAATTCGACTAAAATATTTTCAAAACTGTGGCACTTACAATTGTACTATTTGTTATATACCTTTCGCCACTAAGCTGAAATATGTATTGCTCGGGTTACCTGTCCTATTTTCTATTCGAATCAGCTTTCTTTCTTTTTGCGGATTTTGACCATTAATTTTTCTATTTGTGCATTCATTTCGGGCCTTATGAAGCCACCAAGCAGAAATACGTATTGCTCGGGTTACCTATCCTATTTTTTGCCGAATCCACTTTCATTCTTTTTGCGAATTTTGCCCATTAATTTTTCTACTTGTTATATACCTTTCCCCGCATGATTCCTTCTTCTTATAGATTTTGCCCATTAACTTTTGTATTATAGACCTTTCTCCGCAAGAACCTTTCCTTTTTGTAGACCCTTTGGGCTTGAAGTACCACGGCAACTCTGGTCATTATACTAGAAAAATGTGCGTTGGCTCTTGTTGGTGTCTTCGTGTGTCGTTTTGTTCCCCCTCCATCTTAGTTTCCTCAGGTTACACCCGTATCTGGATGTATGGGCGTGTGTGTCTACTTTTGTAGTTGCATATGTGCATTCATTTCGGGCCTGATGAAGTCGACAAGCAGAAATACCTATTGCTTGGCTTACATATCCTATTTTCTGCTCGGATCCACTTTCCTTCCTTTATCTTTTTTTTTCATTTAATCTTGGTTTGGATTCGCTTATAAACTGGACATAGTCGGATGTGAAAAATGTCTGCCTTAGAAGGAAATCGACGCCGCGCAAGGCACGCGGCATGAAAACCTTTTTCCACTTGGCGTCAACGGGCCATATAAAAAAAGTTCGGAAATCGAGCAGTCAACACGATAAGGCTATTTAATAAGTTTCTTAGATATGAAATTTTGCAAAACAATACCGTTTGAATTTTAGTATTTCTATCTGATAGCTGTAGGTTGAACGGTTGCAGAGATATAGCCGGCGTCCTTTATTATTGGTCCACCCGTTACAGAATAATTTTTAGGGCTGCCTTAGGATTGAATGATGCCACATTAGTAGTGTATCTATCGGAACACCTGATTTTATCTTTGATCTGGATTGGATCTGGATAAACAATAACTTACGTGCAGCTCCTCTTCCCTTTGGTCTCGAGCACTCGCCATCGCACTTTCTGCTTCATAATCCTCGACAAATATATCTTCTTGTACATTGACATCTTTATTTTCTTGGTCTTCTTGTATAGAGAAAACATCTGAAGAAGTTTCTGCTATAATACCATGTGACTGCCAAAAACCTATTTTTCTTCTAAGAATAGTTGGAGGACATTGCATCACTTTACTCAATTCTTCTAGTTCCCAAGTACCTGAAGATATCATTTATTATAGTATATCCAGGGTGGCCCATCCATGTGTGGACGGATTATTACTCATAAACAAATACATTTTTGGAAAATCTGTTTATGGGATGTTATACATGACATTTGAGGGCGTAAAATATTGGCCATTATACAGGGTGTCCCAATTTCGACTTACATATCAAAGTTGTGATTTTTCAAATGGAATGCCTGAAATTTTATTGCATATTTAGATAAACCAATTCAAGAGAAGAAAATTGATATTACATACTATGGGGTTTTGGTAATTAGCTACTGAGATATAAGGTGTTTTGTTTAGAAAAACCCCCCACTTCGGCAACCCCTCAGTCCGCCATTTTGAAATTTGGAGTGCTGAATTTTGTATCAAAAAAAACTTAACTCAGCCTTTTATCTTATTTGTTACTTTTACGAATTTTAATTTTTGCTCATAAACGCAAATTGTAGTTTTTCTCAAAAATTTCAAAAGCATCGTCCTGTATATTTGTGCAAGTTTGGATTCAATCTCTTATAACCGTTTTTTTCATACTAGACACATAACGGTTTTTACGGCTATTTTTTCGTCTTTTATGGAACGGCTTAATTCCCTAAAATATCGCATCATCCTTGGAAACAAATAAATTGTTGATTAGTTAGAAACTGTTAAAATTGGCTTTGTGAGCATTATATTAAAAACGTGTTTGAAAATGAATTTTTCTAAAGAAATGGCGAAGCCCAAAGAAAAAGTTTCCTAGCATCTCGCATTTATAAGCAACGGTACCCTAATATGCGACATCCAAGGCCGGAAACATTTTCCACAGGACGAGAATGTTTTGAATCAAGTGGAACAGTGGAATATAGTAAAAAATGCATAAATAATCCAAGTGTCAGCAATGAGGCGAATTAGTTGGAGGTTCTATTAGAGTTTCAGGAAAATCCCCATTTAAGTGCACGACAAATTGGAGCAGAAACTGATATATGTCGAACTTCTGTCCAGAGGATTATTCACAAGCATAGGTACCATCCATATCACCTATGCTTGCATCAAGGCCTTCGTCCTCAGGATTTCGCAGCTCGAATGGAGTTTAGTAGAATAATCCTAAATAAAGTGAGTGAAGACACTACTTTCCTGGATACAGTTCTTTTTAGCGATGAGGCAACTTTTAATAGCATATGTGTTGTCAACAGGCATAATATGCACTATTATGCGACGGAAAACCCTTACTGGGTTAGGCAAATAGATTTCCAAAATAAAAGGAGCTTGAATGTTTGGGGAGGAGTTATTGGCAGACAAGTTATCGGGCCTTTCTTTTTCGACAACAGATTAACAGATACAGAATAGTTGAATTTTTGATCGAGTTTTTGCCTTTGCTTTTGGAGGATGTCAACCTGCAAACTCGAATGCATATGTACTTCCAACATGACGGCGCACCTGCGCATTATCATAATCGTGTGCGTAACTATTTGGACACCTGAAGTAACAATCGTTGGATCGGTCGTGATGGGCCTATATCTTTGCTTCCTAGATCACCAGATATGACACCGATGGACTTTTTTCTATTTGGCTACGTTAAGTAAGAGGTTTATAGATATCCACCATCTACCCCGGAAAATATGAAGCGACGGATTAAGAATGCTTTTCTGAACATAAGGGAACACATGCTGAGGGGTCATTTATCCAAAGACTACGGCTAGTGATAGTTGTTTGTTTATGTTGTTGTTATAGTTGTTTTTCTCTATTACGCTTGAAGCTGATTTATACTGTTCCGATTGTTATTAGTTTTTACGTCAAATTTGTACTGTTAGTGTCAATATGGAACTAGCCCACTGTTTTTTGTTTCCATGGATAGTGTGTTTTTTCCTTAATTTTGGTTTTGTTCTATTAAAAGCTTAATAACTCAAAATCTAGTGATTTTATCTGAATCAAACCTTACACAAGAAAAAAGTTACAAAAAATTGAATCCAAACTTGCACAAATATAAAGGGTGATGCATTTGAAATTCTTGAGAAAAAGTACAATTCGCGTTTTTTGAACACCCTGTATGAGCAAAAATGAAAATTCGAAAAAGTAACAAATGAGATAAAAGCTGAGGTGTGTAAGTTTTGTTTGATATAAAATTCAGCACTCCAAATTCCAAAATGCCGGATTGAGGAGTTGCCAAAGTGGACGGTTTTTCTGGACAAAACACCTTACATCTCAGTAGCTATTTAACAAAACCCCATAGTATGTTATATCAATCTTCTTCTTTTGAATTGGTTTATCCAAATATGCAATAAAATTTGAGACATTCCATTTAAAAAATCACAACTTTGATATGTAGGTCAAAATTGGGACACCCTGTATAATTGCCAATATTTTAGAAATGTGCCCTCAAATGTCATGTATAACATGCTATTAATAGATTTTTCCAAAATGTATTCGTTTATGAGTAATATTCCGCCCACACATGGATGGGCCACCCTATATAAATATATATATATATAGGGTGTCCCGAAAAAAGTGTGCAATAATCTACCAGCGGTTTCTAGAGCTTAAAATAGGAAGAAAAATGTATATAAACATAGGTCGACAAACGTCCCCTAAGGGCGCTACGGTCTTTTAAAGGGGATCCCCTGAAGATAGGTTTTTCCTTAATATTTCCGAAACGTGTTGAGATAAAGACATAAAATTTGGTATTCTAACCTAGTTTTTTATGCTGGATTCAAAAATATTAACAGTTTTGTTTGGAAGCGTATGTAACAGGGACGGACTTATTTTAGCCCCAAAATTTTTGTGTGATTCTATTTTTGAAATTCAATTTTAGAATTTGAAAATTTAATGTTTTCTACATAAAAAAGGTACTCCTATTGAATATCGATAAATTGTGCCATTTTTGAATGAAATCAAACTAAAAAATTTGTCACATGGTAGGAAATGTACTGCGAATTTAAATGAATTGTTGATTATACATAGTTAGCCATGACTGCAAACAAAAGTTGTTTTGATTTGTTATGACTTATTTGGACGTTAAGCTGACATTGTTAGCAGTGTAAAATTACTAGATTAAAATCAAAATTTTTATTAAATTGATTTAAAATGCCAAGATTTACAGACAGAGAACTGACATGCATTTTGTGTACGGGTTTTGCAATGGCAGTTCATTGGCAGCCGTAAGAGAATATCAAAGCAGATTTCCCAATCGCATAGTACCTGGACGTCGAATGTTTACTGATATTCACCGGAATTTGTGAAACCATGGAAGTTTTCAACGCATGCAGGGCTCAGGAAGGCCACTGGGGAATCATCGTATGGATATTGCTTCAAATATGTTTGAAAATAATCCGCAAATAAGCATACGAAATATTTCAGAAAATATGGATATACCTCGATCAATAGTAATAAAAATTTATGAATACCTAATTGATAGTTATCCTAAAAATAATAATTTTAGATAGGAAGAATGACAAGAATGCAAGGATTACATCCTTATCATTTTAAACGGGTGCAGCATTTAACGGAGGCATATTTTTTACCACGAATTGAGTTTTGCCAGTGGATATTAGCAAATGAAAACACTATTCCTACAATATTATGGTCGGATGAGTCAATATTCACTAGGAATGGTGCTTTTAATTTCCATAACATGAATCACTGATCAGATGAAAATCCAAAAGTTGTTCGCCGTACAAATTTCCAACATAGATTTTCATTGAACTTATGGGCAGGAGTAATTCGGGATCAAGTAATTGGGCCTACTGTACTTCTTAATCGTCTTAATTCAGAGGTGTATCTGAACTTTCTTCAGAATGAGCTCATGGATATAATACCATTGGATGTGCGCCAGCAGTTTCAAGAAAATATGTTTTCTCAATATGATGGCGCCCCTGCACATTTTGGATGCAATGCTCGAAACTGGTTGAATGTCAATTTTCCAGACAGGTGGTTAGGCCGAGGAGGTCCTATAGCGTGGCCGCCACTTTCACCTGTCCTAAATCCCTTGGATTTCCATTTTTGGGGGTCATTAAAAGACCTAGTTTACTCGACTGAAGTAAATACTCAAGAAGATTTACTTCAAAGAATCCATCAGGCTGCAAATGAAATAAGAAGAAAAAGGTTTTCCACTTTTCGGGCTACGCAATCATTAGTTCGTCGAGCGAGATTCTCTATCCAGCAAAGTGCGAATTTATTTGAACACTTATTGTAAAGCTAGTTTTAAGTATATCCAACTGTATGTCTTCTTTTTTAAACAAATTTCAATTTCGTTCGTAGAAGAAATTTATTTCTTTTTTTTTCCTAAATGTTAGCTATGTTGCAATAGAAATATGTATTTATGTAATATTTACCAATTATTAAATTAGTTTTTTCGTTGCCATGGCTAATTATTCAATAAATCATTTAAATTCGCAGTACATTTCCTATCATGTGACAAATTCTTTAGTTTGATTTTATTCAAAAATGGCACAATTTATCGATATTCAATAAGAGTACCTTTTTATGTAGAAAACCCTAGATTTTCAAATTCTAAAATTGAATTTCAAAAATAGAATCAGACAAAAATTTTGGGGCTCAAATAACTTGAGTCCGTCCCTCTTACATACGCTTCCAAACAAAACTGTCTAAAATTGTTAATATTTCTAAATCCAGCATAAAAAACTAGGCTAGAATACCAAATTGTATGTCTTTATCTCAACACGTTTCGGAAATATTAAGGAAAAACCATCTTCAGGGGACATTTGTCGACCTATGTTTATATAAACATTTCTTCCTATTTTAAGCTCTAGAAACTGCTGGTAGAATATTGCAGACTTTTTTCTGGACACCCTGTATATATATATATATATACTATTGGTTTTATGCAAACATCTCTTAAAAGCTGTGGCAACCATAGATATTAAACAATATGTCGATGCATTTCTAACAAAGATAATTGCTATTGTCAGCTTAATATCCTCTAGTATGATGAAACTGGTCAATTTTGGGCCAAACTATGGAAAATTCACTCTAAAGGTCCAAAATAAAGGGTTTTTATTGTTATTATTATCTTCAGACCGAACCGTTCGATCCAGTACTCGAAAATTTTATAAAGCTTCATGCTCCCATAGTCACTCACAAGAAAAAACTTTCGAACCCCATCTGAGATATGATTTACCGATATTTCAATGTCTTACCTTTATCTTGGAAATACATCGCCACAGTAGCCTGAACAGGTGTGACTGAATAACTGGTAGTTCTGCCAGCCAACTCAATCTCTATGTCCACAACGCCTAGATGGTTTTTCCAACATAGTGTTCTACTGCCTTTCAGTGTTTCAAACGCTTCTGTGTATTTCTTTATTTGCTCAGTTACTTCATTATGGAGTTCTAGTTTCTCTTCTTTGAATGGAGGCCAAAATTGAGCAGAAACGATCATAGCATTCAGTGGAATGTCTGATTCTCTATACTCAGCGTCTTGTTTTATATACTGGTTTATCCGTTTTGAATTTGCTATATCCTTGAGCATTACCTAGGAAATTATTTTCTATTAGAAAATTATAAAATTACACTGGCGTACAAAATAAACGCAACACGCAAAATTTTTATGAAATTGGGAATTTCATACCTTTTTATTTTGGTGACTTTTTCGACACACTCATTAACTTTAATTTGCACATTTAATTTCTCAGCAACTGTTTGACTTGTTATAAGGTATGTCCTAAAAGTTTTGGCACAAAATTCATCGGCTTTAGTTTTAACAAACACAAAATAATATGAAGTTGCCTTTGGATACCAACGTTTGTTTACTTACTTTACTGTCAGTTGACATTTATTTATTTTAAGGTTTTCGCTTTAAGATGTCGTATAAGTTAGACATAAGAAAAAGCATCTACAAGTTGGTTGAGCAGGCACGCAAAGCTGTCGAATATTCTAGAATGAAAACATATCAAGCAGAACCTTTTATCGAACAATAGCGGAGTGCGAGCAGGAAATACCATGTCTGAATCTCCCAAAAAGTGGAAGACCACGTGCATTTTCTGCACAGTTGTCAAAGAGATTGATGTGAAGAGCGAAAAAGGTTGTAATGTCAACAAGGAGACTGCATCTTCTAAAAAAAAATCATTATTTAAGATGACGAAAAGTATTTCACTTTGAATAATTCTGAAATGAAGGGAAACGACGGATTTTATACGAACAACGTAGAGGAATGACCTGACAATGTTAGATAGAAACATAAAGCGAAATTTGCAGATAAAATCCTTGTCTAATGCGCAATTTCTAACAGGGGTGTATACTAACCTTTTGTGGAAAGAGTGAGTGGTGAAAATCTGAATAGTCAGAGCTATATTGATTCCTTTCCAAATTGCTTCAGTTTGTCCACGAACACAACAACAACATACCTTTTGTTCCCAAAAACGATAATCCTACAAACTTGCCGCAGGCTCGCCCAATAGAGGATTTTTGGGCTTTACTGTCTAGGAGGGTTTATCATGGAGGCTAGGAAGCCAAAAATGAAGAACAATTAGGACTGCGAATTTACGAAAAACTGAGAGAAATTGATGTGGATTCCGTCCAGGACCTCATGAGAGACATTCGAAGAAAGTTGCGTCTGGTAGAGCAGAATAGGCCACTCCACATAATTCGATAGTATAGTTTAGTTAAGTATTGAGTTGTAATTTATCATCACTAGTTAGTGTTTAAATAAATTAATTAATTAAAAAAAATATATAAACATTTTGTTCCAAAACTTTTAGGTCATACGTTATTATTCGAACGCTACACAATGTAACAAATTTTCATGACATTTGTTAGTGATAGTTACATCCGACTTTGTCTACATAGGACTTTGCCCCCACACTATTATATGTATAAATGGTACATAAGTAAAAAGTAAAAATACTTACCTCACAATAATGTAGCTGAGATTCTCCGAACCTTAGTTTTAGTAATTCTAAATACATTATCTCCTTTTCTGTATCACAGTTATACTGTGATAATAATCTGTCTGCTAGCAGAGTTCTATATTCATTCACAAATAATTCTTTGCTACCATAGACATTCACCAACATTGATATAATATCTGATGTCTTGCGAATAGCACAAGACTTGCCTGAAAAATGCAATATATAAACTTGTTTAGTAAGAAGGGGTGGTAGTTGCGTTGGTCAGAATTTATAAAATGCTGTGTATATACAGTGATTAATAGAAAAGGTGAGATATTTGTGGGACAGAAAGTGTAACAAAATATAACACGAATAGTTACACCCAGAAAAAAGAATTTCTTCAACTTTTTTTTGGCAATGAGTTAGTCTTACATCAAGAATGCAACAATAACATTCTCACGAAATTTTATTGATAAGTAATAAGAAAAAATTAATAATGTGTTGGGCGACTCAGCAGCTGAATACACTCCTGTATACATCGATGTCTGGTTGTGACACCTCATTCCAAGCAACTTGAACTTCGTGGATTAGCTGTGGTAGAGTCTGAGGCGGATGGTGCAAAGTGGATAGTCGCCTCCTCATCATATCCCACACATGTTCGATGAGATTTACATCTGGCGAACGGGGTGGTCACGGCAAAGCATTAACGCCTGCCTCTTGAAGAAAGTCCGTAGTACGATGAGCAATATGGGGACGTGCGTTGTCTTGCTGAAAGAGGACGTGTGGACGGCCATCTAGATACGGCAGTAGAGTGGTTTTTAGGACATCATCAACATAACGCGCAGCAGTCATATTGCCTTGAACAAAGAGACGGGATGATCGACAACCATAGGCAATAGCCCCCAAAACCATTACTCCAACAGTCGTGTGTACATGCCTCTCAACAGCAAATCCAATATCACTCCGTTATCCATGGCGGTGTCTTACCCTTCTATAACCATCGTGCGTACCTGGACAGAATCGCGATTCGTCGGTGCAGATGACATTAGGCCAATCTCCCTCCTAATGTTGTCGTTCTCTGCTCCAGTTTAAACGTTGACGACAGTGGTCTGCAGTCAGAGGAAGCACTAACCGTGGACGGTACAGAAAAGTAGAAAGGCTCGAATGCGGCAATAGAGTGTACGCATGGTAACAGGTCTACCTTCTTCTCCAAACCATTGGTCAGCGATCTGACGTGAAGCAGCAAAACGGTCTCGTAGGACTAGTTGTCTGAAGCGCCTATCTTGACGCTCTGTGATACGCCTCGGTGGACCAGTTGGCCATCTTCGTGTTCCTCTACTTTCTTCTATCCATACACGACACAGCATTACCGTCATTGCACTACACACCGTGGCCAGTTTCGCGATAGGACAAACCAACATCGCGATAGGCAATAATTCCACCGCTGACAAAGTCGCTAACATGGTGATAATTTGGACGTCTTCGAACTCAAGGCATTTTATTATGCTTAACACTAGTATGCATGCTTTAAATATAGTCATTATGTTGCCAAAAAAACAAATTGAAATGATTTTTTCTGAGTGTAACACTTCTAATGTCACTGAGTATATATAGAAAAGAAATTATCATGCGGAGAAAGGTATATAACGTAGATGTGCTTAATGTTGTTAAAACTATATATAGATTCTATTACAAACTATTGTAAACTTTAATAATGAAACGAGTATAATTATTTTAATATTCCAAATCACTACATGCTCTCTCCCCTGCAGCTGAAGAGTTAATTTTTATTGTAGCAGTCAGTAGGCTATGGTATCCCTTTATTTAATAACAATGACCACAGAAAAGGATCAACACATTCATTTTTATATGTATATTTTAGAAGTTAGTATTATTTTTTTAAATAACAGTAAGATAAGTCTCTTTCATTATCATGATATTACAATATCGTCTCAACAACCACCAGTCGAGAACGGTAGGACTTCTCTGAGCTGAAGAATATATTTTTATAAAAAACATCTTTTTCAAATAAACTGCAATTAAAGCAAAAATCTGAGATTTTTTGTTGGAATTTATTGTTTATTGTTTCTTTACGACGTGTCAAAGTGTAGGATAGCCGACTAAGAATGCGAGGCACTGTATCTCTAAAAATAAAGTGATGTGGGGTATTCAAAGGTTTCCGTAAAAAACACCCTGTATCTTCAAAACGGCTAAGCCGATTTTAGCAAACTTGGGCTAGTTGAAAAGAGCTATTCTTGAGCTATAAATGTTATAATACTTGAAGTTTTGTTTGTTTCATAAATATGTCTTTTTTGGATATTCCGACAGAAATGCTAAAATTTTCTCAAAAAAATTAAATGCACTGGTATGAACAAGTCTAAACAAGCTCGCGAAAACTGTATCTTGTTCCTAACCGAATCTTGTTTCTAACCTAAAATTAGACCAAAGAAACTTTTATACGGAAATTCCTTAAATTTTTATAGGTGGGTACATGCAAGACTTAACGTAACTTAACTTAAGAAAATGAGCATTTAAAGCGCATGCCCGGCCAGGATTGCCAATGTAGCAATGGCGACGATATCAACATTAAACACACTAACAAAATCATATGTTTAACGTCAAGGTAGCAGATGAAAGAGTGTTTTGTGGCTTTTGTGTTGCGTGGACTGGCGGACCAGCCTTGAAATTGACAAGTGGCCCCTCCCCACTCGCTTGCGCCAATGCACTGGTAATCAAGTCACAGAACTCGGATAATAGTCCAGATAATATCGAAACATCTGATCGGAAAAATCTTCCGTTTCCGATTTTTGCATAATCTGATTCAAGGACCTCTGTTAAAGAATCTGCATGTGACTAGGCCCAAAATTGCTCCAAAAATTGTTATTAAAGCGATTCCAAAACTTGATTTGTTCGCTTTGTTTATAGTATTTTGCGGTTTTTAGGACATTCTGAATAAAAAATGAGCTTTAGAACTTTTCTCTAGACTTGATATATACAGGTATAAGCAAGGTAAAAACTCAAAATATGTCATTTGCTACCCTAAAAACAAAATGAATAATGAATATTTTGATGTTGCCAAATCTCACACATGCTTCAACCAACCAATAACAAAACCCCCAGAGCATTTTAGGGAGTACAGTTATTGTAAATATTTGCATAGTAATTATGAATTGAATGCGCGCTCAATGTATAGTCTATGTCTATGTGAACGCGAGAGAGAGATGAAATATCTCTCGTGCACGCTGAATATGCATTGAGCGTCCGCTTGCATATCAATTAAATACAAAGATTTTTAATAACAGTATCTCCTAAAAGGTATCGCAGTGGTGTTTATGGTTATTTATGAAGCATGGCGACATTAACATTTTCGTTTTTTCAGATCGTTTTTCGGTATCGCAAAATCAATTTTTTGTACTTTCCCATCTCGTACAAAATCAGCTTTTAACAAACATTGTCAAACATCGTTTTGTTTCGGAGTATCAAAAAAAACGAATATTACCTTTGATGAAGCGAAAACATTAATTTTTGGAATTTATTTGAAAAAGTTGTACAAACAATTAGAGACGCAATTTGGAGCCTGACAACATGTAGATTTGTTACTAGGAGGCTTTTTCGAATAACATGCAAAAAGTCCGAATCCGAATATTTTCCTGAGCAGATGTGAAGATATTTCTTGGACTATAACGACGGCAGCGCTACCATTCTTGGCTGGAAATCTGGTGGAACTAAAAATATTGAAAGTATGCCGACAACGCATATCAGGAATGTCAGGAATGTGTCGGCGATTTCATTTGTTTACATTACGAAATCTGACTGATGACCGTCCCGATATTGAGGCAGTTCGATGATCATAGATGCATAACACATCCTCAATAAAGGAAGTATTTCTTTCATCAGTTTGGCTAGTAATGAATTTCAGGATAATAAAAAAATGTATAATTGAAAAAATATTTATTGAACAGTCCCAGCAATAATAGAACAAATTCTTCATTACAATAAATTGTAAATACATAGAAGTATTCTACTCATCAGGATTTTTCTCTATATTATGAACCTGATCAGTCCAATATCATGCAAGCACTATCTCTTGTCAATTGATCATGTATATTTATTGCAAAAACATAAATACTAAAATAACAAAAAATACATCTTTAGTTAGAGGACTGACTGGAATACAAATATAATCACTCTGATATGTGAATCAAAAATAGTTTTGCACACACTGTTAATGGGTAAAGGCAAACAAAATTGTCCTCAACAAAAAAAAAAAACACATAAAACACTAATTGTTTCTTCAAACTAGGAAACAAACTCCTTATGTCATTGACAATTAATTTGGTATCCATAAAATAAATGACGATCTTCACTCCAACTGTCTCCTCGAAGGATGTTGACACTGTGAAACAAAAAAAAATTATTAGCATAATATCACTGTCATATTTGGTCAGCAAACACTAAACAGAAACATAGTTATCTCACCACGCCCCTTCAGATGATACTGCTCTGTACATATGTGTAAATTCCCAATCTAGCAGTATATATTTGATTGCCAAAATTCTGTATGTAAACAAATTTTCATTGGTGATACCAAACACCAGTCCTTAATTTGTCCCTTTACCAGATTTATTATTACCAACAGTACAGATGTCACAAAAAAAAGTTACGTGCTACTCATCTGTTTACCTCAATAAACTTCAAAAGAGATTACATATTTGGGCTGCGAATACACAGCATTCGCCAGGTGTACACCTGGTTCGTACTTATTGACAAAGTACCTTCACAGTGTTCTGCGACGTTTTGGAAAAACATGTCATGGGGGGCATGGTATAGATTTAAATTCTCTTTTTTCTTCTGTAGGGGCTATAATTTGCCAACATCACCACTGGTACAGTCTCAGACATGAAAGTGTTTGCATCTATCAGCTATGAAGTCAGTACTACAAGCACAAAATTTTAAGATCATTTCCATTTTTTTTTTCGTTCTCTAGAATATAATTTCAAAATCCTCTATCTTGGTAAGGGGCAATTTAGGACCCATGTTTATTTTTTTCATGCTGTTTTTTGATCTACTTTATGCTGTGGCAATACTGATAAGCGCAAATAATTTTTCATACAACTATCACCGAACCATCTGCCCATACAGCGATATAAAATCGATCAAACATCACGATATAAATATCGACTATCGACTTTTGTACAGTATCGATGGCTCGTACCAATCTTCTAAT